ACTAACTAACCAACTGACTAACCAACTAACTAACTAACTAACTAACTAACCAACTATCTATCTAACTAACTAAATAACTAACCAACTAACTAACTAAGTAACTAACTAACTAACTAACCAACTAACTAACTAACTAACTAACTAACTAACCAACTAACCAACTAACTAACTAACCAACTAACTAACTAACTAACTAACTAACTAACCAACTGACTAACCAACTAACTAACTAACTAACTAACTAACCAACTAACTAACTAACTAACTAACTAACTAACTAACTACCTTACTATCTAACTAACTAACTAACTAACTAACTAACTAACTAACCAACTAACTAACTAACTAACTAACTAACTAACCAACTAACTAACTAACTAACCAACTAACTAACTAACCAAATAACTAACTAACTAACTAACTAACCAACTGACTAACCAAATAACTAACTAACTAACTAACTAACCAACTAACTAACTAACTAACTAACTAACTAACTAACTACCTTACTATCTAACTAACTAACTAACCAACTAACTAACTAACTAACCAACTAACTAACTAACTAACTAACTAACTAACCAACTAACTAACTAACTAACCAACTAACTATCTAACTAACTAACTAACTAACTAACCAACCAACCAACTAACTAACTAACCAACTAACTAACTAACTAACCAACTAACTAATTAAATAACTAACTAAATAACTAACCAACTAACTAACTAACTAACTAACTAACCAACTAACTAACTCACTAACTAACTAACCAACTAACTAACTAACTAACTAAATAACTAACTAACTAACCAACTAACTAACTAACTAACTAACTAACTAACTAACTAACTAACCAACTAACTAACTAACTAACTAACTACCCAACTAACTAACTAACTAACCAACTAACTAACTAACCAACTAACTATCTAACTAACTAACTAACTAACCAACTAACTAACTAACTAACCAACTAACTAACTAACTAACTAACCAACTAACTAACTAACTAACTAACTAACCAACCAACCAACTAACTAACTAACCAACTAACTAACTAACTAACCAACTAACTAACTAACCAACTAACTATCTAACTAACTAACTAACTAACCAACTAACTAACTAAGTAACTAACTAACTAACTAACTAACTAACTAACCAACTAACTAACTAACTACCTAACTAACCATCTGACTAACTAACTAACTAACTAACTAACCAACTAACTAACTAAGTAACTAACTAACTAACCAACTAACTAACTAACTAACTAACTAACTCACTCACTAACTAACTAACTAACTAACTAACTAACTAACTAACTAACTAACTAACCAACTAACTAACTAACCAACTAACTAACTAACTAACTAACTAACCAACTAACTAACTAACTAACCAACTAACTAACTAACCAACTAACTATCTAACTAACTAAATAACTAACCAACTAACTAACTAAGTAACTAACTAACTAACTAACCAACTAACTAACTAACTAACTAACTAACTAACTAACTAACCAACTAACTAACTAACCAACTAACTAACTAACTAACTAACTAACCAACTGACTAACCAACTAACTAACTAACTAACTAACCAACCAACCAACTAACTAACTAACTAACTAACTAACTAACTAACTACCTTACTAACTAACTAACTAACTAACTAACTTACTAACCAACTAACTAACTAACTAACCAACTAACTAACTAACTAACCAACTAACTAACTAACTAACTAACTAACTAACCAACCAACCAACTAACTAACTAACCAACTAACTAACTAACTAACCAACTAACTAATTAACTAACTAACTAAATAACTAACCAACTAACTAACTAACTAACTAACTAACCAACTAACTAACTCACTAACTAACTAACCAACTAACTAACTAACTAACTAACTAACCAACTAACTAACTAACTAACTAACTAACCAACTAACTAACTAACCAACTAACTAACTAACTAACTAACCAACTAACTAACTAACCAACTAACTAACTAACTAACTAACTAACTAACTAACTAACTAACTAACTAACCAACTGACTAACTAACTAACTAACTAACTAACCAACTAACTAACTAACTAACTAACTAACTAACTAACTAACTAACTAACTGACCAACTAACTAACTAACTAACTATCCAACTAACTAACTAACTAACCAACTAACTAACTAACTAACTAACTAACCAACCAACCAACTAACTAACTAAGTAACTAACTAACTAACTAACCAACTAACTAACTAACTAACTAACTAACTAACCAACTAACTAACTAACTAACTAACTAACCAACTAACTAACTAACTAACTAACTAGCTAACTAACCAACCAACCAACTAACTAACTAACCAACTAACTAACTAACTAACTAACTAACTAACTAACTAACTATCCAACTATCTATCTAACTAACTAACTAACTAACCAACTAACTAACTAACTAACTAACTAACTAACTAACCAACTAACTAACTAACTAACTAACTAACTAACTAACTAACTAACTCAGCTCTTCTTAGGCTACTATTACTTATTAACCTTTTCACCTTGTTTCATCATTGTCTTGTGTCATAATTCGAAACTTCTAAAACTAGAGGTCATCTAATATCCATCATCCTAAACTGATTTGATCACGACACGAATAAATCCCATTGGGAAAAAGATGAAAAACTAAAACCCTACACACAATATACTATAAGATCAAACGATTTCAATGAAACTTCAATATTTATACATGGTTTTGAGATGATAATTTGAGGGAAAATAATACTAACTTCTTAAATTAAATAAAGAAGGGATGGTATGAGGGAAGGATAGGAGGATAATCTGAATATATATATATATATATATATATATATATATATATATATATATATAAAACCTAAAGCAGGGGTCCATTTACGAGAATACACATGTACATTGTCACACTTTTAAATATAAAGCATACTTCAGTGAGTTAGAGACGGCAGAATCTAAAATATGCCTCGATAGATAGTGAGAAACGGAACAAGAAGTTATAAGACAAATAGGAAGAATGTTTAATTATTATTTTTAACGTTTGTAACGTTACTAACAACACTATTGGGATTTAACCTGTAAGAGAGAGTTCAACTAGAGATTAGTTAATTTGAGGTGTAACTGAAATGCCTTACTGAAAAATCGATATTTATTTTTTCGTGAGTCACGTTTTATTTTTATGCAGTAGTTCTTAATAATACCTCAATAAGTCTTAGACGGTGTGAATATTTCACTAGCTGTTTAAAAATATCTTGTTCACATGCACAAATTATAGCATACCGATTCCTACTGTCGAGTTAGGGTCTCTGTGGAGATATCGGTATTCATTAGGGAGCATCTATGCCCATATTGGAAGAGATTTGTGACCAGGATTCAACGTCTATATTGAGGAAATGAAACAACATTGGGAGAGTAATACTGTTCCTTGCTGTTATGAATTAACACTAAAAATGGGGATCAGCATTTTTAGTAAAGCTGACTATTGTACGAATCTGTTTACTGTTGTAACTGAAAAGAAAAAGTGCACTCTATAGCTTAAGCTGTGTTCGAGCTTGTATAAAATACCGTGGAGGCAGTGGACCACTTGAATTTCAAGCTATAGACTTCAGGTTGAAGTGTCGTTTTACATAAATCAAAGCAGGTCACTGAGTGGTATCGTCACACCTGACACAATAAATGTGGCTCACTGCTGGCTGTACAAGCAAGCTAACCTGAGTAACTGAGTATCGGCTGCCTTTGTGAATTCACTATCTCAAGAAGTGGAGTGAAATGTCCCTTCGTAGTGTAATCCTGTTGCACCAATGGTCCAGTTTTTTGGAGTGCTGACCAACCATGCACCTGGTATAGGACTTGAGTCCTGACCGGTGCATACCTTTACCTCTATTTGCTAGTTATAATCTCGACAAAGAGAGAAGGTCAGATATGAGGCTAACTATCCCAGCCCGTGAAAATAAACATCACTATTACTGAAACTTGGAAGCTCAGGCATGAAGTCGTATGTCCCACCGGGACTATACTGTTAGTTTAAGATGGCTAGTGAATGATGACTATGATTACAATATCCAGGATGACAAAATCAAGGATGTCACTCACTTGTCTATTCACATTTCGTCTTATGTTTTGAATGATTGTACATTTCCCATACATTCCACTGACAAGTGTAACTTGTGGTCTATTATTTCGTCTTATACATGTACACCAATACAGTTACTGATATAATTTTCATTTGCCTTTACTGACTGTTAGCATTCTAAGATTCATAGATCTTTAACTTCAGAGCCTGGAGAAGAAGCTATCGAAAACAATTGTTTGCTCAAAAATCACGTTGTTCTGACATAAAAACCTTTGTCGACTGACAATTCAAGTAGGAGAACAATTACATATCCCTATGCACAACTGGCAAACGGTTGGAGGCAATCAGCAGGAAGCCCTTGACCTAAGTTTTGTTCTTGCTGGCACTCGTCAGCAATGCTTATTTGAAACTTTGAGATTTGAACCTCATTCACCTAGTAATCCAGTTAAGGGCATCACCAATCAACTATTCAACTCCACGGTTCACCTTCTGTAGGACTATAGTCGATACAGGGATAAGTGATGCGACTAGTCTTAGGCGTGGATGCAGATGAAATTCTATCAGCCAAGTTTGTAATGCAATCACCAATCTGGGTAACTCTGTAGGTACAGGGTTTCCTGCTAATTGTCTCCTACTGTCTAACAGCAGTTCAGAGTGTACTGTAATGTCAGGTTGGCTAACCTGGTGACCATATTGCAAACGTGACTAATGAAAGGGACATGACACTGGTTTCTCCCTAATGACCAATAAATGTGAATTCACAAATACAAAAATTCCAAATCAAAACTTTCACTTTATATAAGAAAGAAAAGAGAAAGTACTCGTTGGTGAGTTTTAACTCCAAATCTTTTAAAATAAAACTGTTCAACTTACTTTTGCACCTAATGATGAATAGCACTCATCGAATAACATCCAAATTTTTGGTTTACACCGTTGCCATAATGTTAATTTCCCTGACTGATAAGCATCATCCCAACCAAATTTTGCATACAACTCCTCATCTGTCCTGCCTTCAGTATCTAAATCCAAATCATTCAATATCTGTAGGGTTTCTTGTGTTTCACGATGTGATGTATACGTCATCCAACAACATGGCTCCACCTTAGGAGAGAAAATTACGAGTAGAATTGTTATTATTATTATCATAATTAAATGAAAAGCTAAGCTGAATATTATTAGACTGTGTTATCAAGTGGTTATATCTACTATATAAATGTACATTTTCCACCAGTGGCTGGCTGAGTCACTGATTTTGTTTTAGGCTGAGAAAAAATCTCAGGAAATCTATTTTTAAATGAATACAGTGGATTATAGTTCGTTTACAACTACTCTGATTTTTTAGTGAGTAGTGTGTACTACTTTCCTAATAGATTTAATCTGATTGAGTTTTGAGTGAAAAATTAAGGCTACATTGTAACAACGTTAGATTGAAAATTGCGTGAAAGATATATTTGATGCCTACAAGATGTAAGTAGACAGGTGGGCTAATGATAGAATGCTTGCCAACTATCCACATGGTCCGGGATCCGATTCCTGGTCCATATACTCGTAAACCTCACCTAGTTTACTTACTAATAGTAATGTAGAAAAAGAAGGGAGGTTTCGCGTGAAGTTAACAACCCGATCTCCTGGAAAGAGTACACCACGGCTACTTAAACTTCAAAAGGCTTGAAGAATTACGCTCCGTTCGGAAAGTAAATGAATGCAAATAAGGTAAAGAAGTATAGTTTTTACTCTCTTCCTTATCCTGTAGCTAATAAATTTCTAGACGTAGTCTCTATGAGTAAAGGTCAGAATGAACGCTAAATTCTGTTAAACAAAGAATATTTTTTTGAAAAAACGTCTGTTCAAGTTTTTACAGTGCTAAAACAATAGATTCGTCATACTGATCGATTAATATAAGTGTAACAACAGAAGACAAGGGCCAGGCAACAGATCGTTTTATTATGAAAATCAACACGTATTTATACATATTTCACATACATTATTATAGCTTACGCAAGTAGACAAGCGCAGTCATCTGATTGGTTGTTTATCAGAAGTTAGGCAGACAAACGCAGGCTTCTGATTGGTTGTTTCGGGATTCCTCGACAAATAGAGTTCTCTATCTGCGAATCATATTTTGCCACGTTAACTTTGCTGTGATTGGTTGTTGAATCAGCCTTGCTCATATTTTCTCACGGCCTGCTCTCACCACATAAGTAGCTAGACACCACTGACACCAACCAGTAGTGCTTACTAGCCAGATTATCGAATTGATCTAAGCACTGAATGGTTCATTTGGGACCGAGTTCATGAGCAGTGTACCTGGTCTGACTAACCTTAGAGAGCAAAATCAGTTCAAACCAACCAGTGTGAGTGGTGTATAACAACTCATCTCGGTCACTCATTAGTGTTATATCGACATGCCTCCATGGTTGGTTTCTTGATTACCGTTCATGATATCAAGCAGGTTGCATCACGTGTTGTGATCTGAATTACTTCGATTTCTCAAGGAATTTGTGGCGAAATTTTATCTCTTCGTACTGCGTAAATTTCAGATCCTGAATGAATTTCCAAGTGGTGAATTTGATTTTAAATATTCCTCATTATAGTAATAATAGTAACCCGATATAGAAAGGAATGTATTCTGAAGTAAACTAATATCATGAATTTAAGATTAGAATGATTCCAAGTTATAAAACACGATTTAAGCAAGGGAATGTGTATTTTCGGTAATTTCTGTTCAGGCTCTACAATTGCGTAATAAAACATCAGTCATATATAATTAAAACAGTATGGATTATTAGCATCCAATAGAATCAGGCGGAGGGTATTCAGAATAATAATACTAGTAATACATGATGAAACTAAGATTAAAATACGTGGCTGTAGTACAGTTTAAGCGTTGGTGGCACAGTGTTAGAATGCTCGCCAACCACACCTCATGTGATTCGCAGTTCTGTCGGCGGCCACGGATGCACTCATAAACCTAGCGAAGCTAGTAATAAGACTCATAAAGAGGGAAGGTCAGGGATGAGGCTAGCAACCCATCCCATAAAAAAAATCCTCTGTTACCGAAGCGTCAAAGCACTGGCTTGAAGCCCTATGTTCCACTGGAAACGCAAAAGAGTAAAAAAGTACAGTAAAATATTGATAATAAAGTTCTCAGTACAAATAAAAATAATATTTAAAGTTACCCAATGTGGAGACAGTTACATAGATCGAACGACTCATAATGCCCACCGTCGCCTTCTTGAGCATTGTCAGACGCGTTTAGTAAAGGAGTCGTGAAGTCATTTTGGAGTTCCATAGTGACGCATCCTGTTGATTTGAGGCACAAGATTGATGAAACTCATTCAGCCTTTACAGTTCCATACATAGTGCCACCTCAATTCTCTAAGTCTGTCCGCTTTCAATTGCTCAGCATAGCTGAGTAAGTTGAAGCCATGTCTCTGTATTCAGAGAAGGTTTGTTCAATCCGTATCTCTCTTCCATAAACTTCAACCCTAACCTAGAATAATTATTTCTTCTGATGAAACCCGAGAGCTGTAAATATTATCTTCATATCTGTTTGTACTGTTAACTTTATTATCAATATCATACTGTTCTATAGTTGCATAAATTAGTCTTAGTTGCGTAATTTGTTATTACTACTATTGTACTACTTATATTCCGCCTAATTCTATTTAACTCCATTTAATCCATATTGTTTCCGTTGTCTATGGCTAAGAGTTTATTATGTAATTGTATAGATTGATGAGAATTTATCCAAAATACGTATTTGTTTGCTTAAACCATGCTCTACAATCATCACAATGGGAATATTCAAATGACTTTCAACTTGTCAAACAACAAGATGATTAGCAGTTCCGTTGATAAATGTAGTGAGTCAGATACAACTAAAATATGGTGTGAAATGAATAAACAGGATAATTAGTTAAAATAGATATATACGCTGTGGAGAAGCAAAGTTGAAAAGTTTATTTGAGCTTGTAAAACTTGTTCGATGATTAACTATGACTAACATATAGTAAACTTTAGATAGGAGATAGTAAGACTACGGTGAATAGTTCATCATGAAATAGTCAGTCGACACGAAGAAATATCAGTAAGACGTCTGTGAAGACCAGGGAGCACGGGATAGTTGTTTTGTCTTACTCCGAGACTCTTCGGCAGTACCCTTTAATGATCTCGCCAGGGGTAAAATCAAGGACCTTCTGTTTACACGATCAACCTTTTTAACCATTCATTCACTTAAGCAAGAATTCAGAAACTTGTGAATTCTTGATACAGCACTACACTCAACCAATGCTGTTGATGAGCATCAACTTCACTCACCTTGACAAGTCAGATGCCACTGGTCAAGATTGCTAAGTACAGCTTCAGGACATCTAATCACTAACAATCATCGAGCTGAATATTGATATTTAGATTATGGGTCTTTGTAGAGATCTGGATTATTTTCATTAACACTTAATCAAAACAGTTTATTATGAATGCTAAATCAGTTAGTATTTTGAAGAATTATCAAGTGATGAGCATAAATTTTTTTTCAAAAATTGTCAAGTGGCGAAAAAGACATGAACGTCCACGGAGTCACTAAACTTTTGACAACCTAGGTGATACTTGGTAGATACAGGCAAAACCTAGAAAGTCCCACAGTTTTATGCATAGGAGTTTTTATAGTCAAGTTAAAGTATATCGATACAGGAGTGAGAACACACCAGTGACCTTGAACGCATACCATTCATTGGATGACGGGACCTACTATTATTTTAGCTCCACTGTGAAGGAAATGTAGGGTGATTTCCATTCCCATCTCGTTTTTAAGCACAGTTTAGAAAAATGTGTTGATGGCTCGTTAGTGTTACGAACTAGAAATAGTGTTAGGGTTAAGTTAAGGATTAGGGCATTTTGTTACCCCTTACTGGGACCCATACTAATTCAGTTGAAGGCTCTTGGGGAAGAATGAAAAACAGGATAAGAGCCATAAATGCCTCAAGAAAGGAACTTATCTTCAGCCATCTCAATGAATACATGTACGACAACTGGTTCACTGTAAAAAACAGGTACTTCTCATTAAAACTGGGAGGTATGTTTGAATCACGTCAGTGGAAAATATCTTGTTCAATGTGTTTCATCATTATTCTCTGGATTCCTCTTGTAAATAAGCATCATTCTGATATAAAAACCACTGGTTTTTCTGAGTGGTTGTCTCAGCGTCACTCGTGCATTCGAATAGTTTTACTTTACCATTTTCAATACCTTTAGTCAAGTAATAATTTCAATATTTGTCAGGTGAATTAAAGGCATATTTAAAGACCAGCAGCCTTTTTTTTCAAAACTTATATAATTAAAACAAGTTCATTTGTTCAAAATTTTGGACAGTGAATTATTTTTACTTTTATTTTACACTATTACGAAAAGTCAGTCAAATAAATTAGACCTAACAATGTTTACATAAGAATGTAGATTAATTAGAAGCATTGCCTAGTTGTGAAGAGAGACAGAGAGGCGGAAATTTAATTGCGTAGAACTTGAGGATGTCAAGTAAAATTAGTGAAATAGCCTCTAATAAAGTTAACAAAAATGATTACACAGTTTTTTTTTTATCAAAATTAAAAGTTTTTGCCTGATTAAAAGTGAATTTTAAGTGAATCTGCTTGTTTCGTTGTTCTTTCACTGAAGTGTAATCAGAACGGTATATACTACTGATATATGTAAGTAGTTGGAAATCATTCACATTAACAAGTACTGTGTATCAGCGAAATAAAAGGCGTCTAAGCCCTTGATAGCATTTTCATATTTTGAGGCTGAGTTAAACACCGAAACACTGGGAGTGAATCAGATAAGAAGGCAGTACTAGTGTGGTGAGAGCAGGCTGCTAGCCGATTGGTTGGCACTAATCTACGTTAAGGTCTAGGTCACTAATATGGGCCGTGAACAAGCCTGGGTCAACAACCAATCACAGCAAAGTTAACGTGGCAAAATATGATTCGCAGAGAGAACTCTATTTGTCAAGGAATCCCGAAACAACCAATCAGAAGCCTGCGTTTGTCTACCTAAACAACCAATCAGATGACTGCGCTTGTCTATAATAATGTAGTTGAAAGATGTAT